AAAAAAAAAAAAAAAAAAAAAAAGAAACACACAATCTGCATGATCTGAGTAGGTCACAAGCATGCCAAACAACTCATGAATACAAACCATAAATTCATGTCATGTTAGTCCTAAAAACTTCATCAGCCTAATTCACGAAGCATCCGGCGTTTATGCTGTTTAAGTGAAAACTACTACTTGTTAGTGACAATGCATACTAAGTTTACTTGGGCTTTTGCATTTTTTCTTCTTATTATTGTTACATTGTTGCCAATAGCAACATGCCATTTGCCACAATGTTCATTCCAAGGGATAGACTTAGAACAATGCTTGGATCAAGGCAAAAGTCAAGCTTCTTTTGATTCTTGTTGTAATGCACTCAATCAAGTTATTCAAGCAGGATATTATTGCTTGTGCGCGATATTAGGCTCGTCTAGTCCTCTTATAACAACCTCACTTGTTCTGCCTTTGTCTAATTGTTTCATTTCAATACCTCCATTGACTCAATGCCAAGGTAATATATAATCTCTCTCTTAGTTCCAATTCTTCTTTCAATTCTGTGCTTGTTATGAATCTTCGGGGTCTCAGTGGCATATGCAGAATTTTTTACAAAGCAATGTCGGCTTATTATTACAACTCGACTAGTTTATATATGAGTTTGAATTTAGGATTGTGGGGGTTCTAAGGCTTCATTTCTTGTTCCAAATTGATTTTCCATTTCCATTATTTTCAAATGCTTATTGTATAAACATATATACACACAATGTATTTATACCAAAAACAAAAAAATACTTTCTCCATTTAAATTTATGTGTTTTGCTTTTTTTGTCTGTTTTAGAAAAAATGACTTTCACCGCTCATTTTATCCTTAATGAATTTCCTTATACAAATAACTAGGCATGTTTAATTAAGACCACTAGATTCAAAGGCTACTTTGATAAGTATGTTATAGATCATACACACATTTAATTGAAGGTCATGTGATTTAAAAATTCATTTTTCTTTCTTGAGCTTCGTACACAGTCAAAATAAGACATATAAAACGAAATAGAGCAAGTACTACTTATACATATACTTTCTTTTTTTTTTCTTTTTTTCTTTTTTTTTCTTTTTGCAAAACAGTGTCAGATGACACCTTTTGCGGCAAGGCATCTAATTTTGGAGCTAATTTATTTTTATAATTTTTTTGTAGCACCTCAAGCAATGTTTAGTCCAGTACAAGAAATGAAGCCTCCACCAAGTAGACCAGTGCCAATTTTTTTGCCTCCAAAGGAGCCGCCTCCATCACCACTACCATCTGTGCCAAAGGATTTAGTCTTGCCCTTACCACCAAATATGGATGATATTCCAGTTCTAAATTCAACCCGAGACGACAAAAATAACCCTTCGATTCAATCGCCAGCAATTCTGGGCAGTCGTCCTGCTCCAGAATCGAAAATTCCTAATAAGGATGAAAATTTGACGTCGTTTGGTGGAGATAATAAGAAATTTTTGTTGTATGCTAGAGTAGTATTCCTTCTGATCACAGTGTCAACATTTTATTTAATGCTTATAGTATGAATTATATATGCATGTATTTCAGTAAATTAAAGATTAGTTTCTATCTTGTCCTGTCAATTGTTGGCAACTATTAAGAGTAGTTTTAGTACAATGTCACAATGTTAGAAATTTTGTCTATGTTAATATATTTATAGTACCCTAAAAATGATGTTTCCAACTTCATCTAATCATCACTTATATATATATATATATATATATATATATATATATATACTAGACATTGACATTTTTGGCTTTTTTGTTAGTTTACTTCTTTATATTTAACACCCTTTAGTGAAAATTCCGGTTCCGTCAGTGCTTATTTCTATGCATCATTTCATTAAAGTTGTTTCTTTCTAGTAACAACAACAACAATGACCCAGTTAAATCCCACTCTGGAGTCTGTAAAGGGTAGTGTGTACGCAGATCTTACTCCTACCCCAAGGGGGGGTAGCGAGGCTATTTCCGAAAGACCCTCGGCTCAAGAAGACGAAAAGAAGCAACATATTAGTACCATCAAAAGAAACCATGAAACAAATAATAACATCATCAAAGCAAGAAAATAGATGAACAGCAAAACAATCTTTAGTAACATCAAATGAAATAGTAATGCACAATAATCTCTGTATCTTTATAATCCTGTGGTAAATTTGGAAATTTTGATCGAAAAATGATATTATATAGCCGTTGTGAAAATAATAACTGAAAAAATTTATATATTTTTGTATAGCAAAAAATATACAAATTAATATATTTTTTTACAGCTACCAGATATATATAGTTTCTGACACAGGCTAAAAGTGATAATACCCCAATTTTGATCGAAGGAAAATGCTCACTTATCGCAGTGTTGGGCTAGCATTTTGAAGGCCCTTTCGAGTAAAGAGCTGGGCTGTTGAATTCTCCGGCCTACAAGGACTAAGTTGGGCTCAGTTAGGTCAATTCATTTTGACAGTTTGAGTCAACAACTGACAAAGATTCCACAATAAGGCTACTGGTGGCAAAAATAGCCGCTCATCTAACCGCTTAAACAAAAAGTAGCCGACTCATCCAATCGCTCACCCGATGTCGTGCCATGGCGGCCTGCCACGTATATATATAATCAATATACTATATACGTATATTGATTAGAAAAAGTAAACAGTAAATTTGACTGGCTATTTGTGTAAAGATCCCTTATCATTTAATGGATATTATCATTTTTAGTCCGCGCCAGAAACTATTTATACTTGGTAGCCAAGAAAGTGTATAAAAGTAGTATAATTTTTTTATATAACATACAGAATGTATATATACAAAAAATATATATATATATCGGTTATTAATTTGAGAGTAGCTATACAGTGTCATTTCTCCAGCATTATTTAAAGAGAAATTTTCATAAAGCACTATCTTTTAGTGGTAATTAGCTATCTATAGATACCATTTGCTATATTACGGATTGTAGATATGTTTTCTGTTGTTATAAGATGTATTAGATGTATTTAAGCTACTATATTCATGAATACAGTAGCAAAAATAGGCGTGAATCAGGGAAGTCCAGCTAATCAGTTGTTGTATTCGAGTGTATTTGACTGTATTCATGGCGTGAAACATGGGATTACAACTGGACAGATTATTGTATTCGACTATATTCACGGCATGAAACAGGGGATTACACTGTTTTTAAACGAAAAATGAATCAATTAATATAATAGACTCCTAATATAACTCAACAAACTCAATTATAACACACAAATTTTGTATTTTCAGTTATAAAAAAGATTCAACCGAAAAATACCCCAAAAAATAGCAATCTTCAGAGAAATTATATAATACATCTGAATACACAAATTATATTAATTAAAAAAAATATATGAATACATTCATGACATATAGCGAGACAGTGAATACAATAAAATACATATAGAATACAACGGGATACATTGAAATACAATAAAAAAAAGACAGTGAATACAATGAAATACATGAAATACAGCGAGATACATTGAATTACAATGAAAAAAAAGACAATGAATACATGAAAATACATTGAAATATATTAACAGAAAATAAGTTGTTCAGCCCCAAACTCCGTCGTCTTTGTTCAAAAACAAAGCCTAATTTCCGATGAATAGTCGTCTTCAGACATTGACTCATCCTCCTAAAGCTTCTTCACGATGAGACCGGGCATGGCTGTTTTTGTACGGGGGATTTGTAAAATATAGAAGTAGAAGGGGTTCTCAGTGTGTATAGATAAAATTGGCA